AGTAGCCCCACAGCCTCACCATCATGAGTAAGTCTGTCACTACTCCTATTGATTAGGTCAAATCTGCATTAAAAAGTGTTTTGCCAGTAGCAAAAGGGGCACTGTCAGTAAATTTTATATTGGTTCCAGAAGCAGAATGAATGTTGTGGACTGAAATCTCATCAGGCTGATGAAACCCGAAGTGTTTTAGAATCAGCTGTTGCTTCTAATGACTTATGAAAAATGCTTTTTATAAAAATGATGATTCGATATACTCCAGTCAGTTTACTCTGGTGTTCAGCTATGCTTACAAATATAAAGCTCTTCCTTACCACAACTTAATCTGCCTTCCTCTGGATTAAGTTTGTTATCTGTTTACTTCATCTTGGACAACAGACAATTTACCTCTGGAAAACTGAGATTTGTTATGCTTTTCTATGCTGATATAAATCTGTATATTGTAAGGCTTTTGCTATTACATAGGCATTTAAAAAGCAGAAAAACCTCACATGGAATCTGAACATGGGACATTTCCCCCTGATTAATGGACATCTTCCCATAGGATGATCTTGAAAGACCCTGTTTGCTTTCATGATGCTATTCAGTTTGAAAACTTCTGGCAAAAATAAAACCATCTGGGAGGTCCCCACTCCAACACTTTAAAGCATATGCTTGTTAACATATATTTTGACTGGATAGACTGGTATTTGATGCTTATGTTTTCCTGTCCTAAAACAAGAGAAGCAGAAAAGTGAGGAGACAAACTTCAACCCTGAAATCAGACCATACTTAATTACTAAAACAGGTGTTGCAAGCAAAACTTTATTGAAACAACACAGCATTTTTTCAGTAGAACATATATACAAAAAAAAAATTCCAACTTGCTATTACACAGACAATAATTCACAAAGTATTAAAACATTTTTTTTCAGAATTCTCCACTAAATGGAGCAAAATGCCTTCTGGTTTTCCGTATAATTTTCCATAACCTTTCTTTATTCCTGACTGGAGAGTTCAAGTGACTGCTGAGCCATTAATAAAAAACAAAGAAACATATTGATCCACAAGATGCTCTGTTGCCTATGACTTAATTGTAATTTCAAGGTTTAACACAGATTTACCTGAGAAAGAGTGCAAGTTAAAGTACATGTCTCACTAATTCTCTTACTGGGCTAGTATAAGCAGCTTTTTACATAATGGTTTGTGTAGTCAATTAGCAGAGTATTAGCTATAACAGATAACATTCTTACTAAGACCATATTAATTAGAGCTTAAACACAGCTAATCTCAGACCTATATTGAATCTATATTATTATGTAAGCATAATGCTTCCATAGGAAAGTAATTTTAAGGAAAAGGAAATCGTAGCATCTGATATATAAATAAGCAGATTTTAACAGATATTTGGAAACCATGTGATGTTTCTTAAAACTTGAACGTGCTAGGCCACTACAAGTAATAGTAAGATTACGAGCAGCAAAGGACACAAAAGATTGGATAACTTTTAAGTTTATTGGAACAGAAGTAGTGGGATTGTGAGCTAAGAAACTCTCTGTAAGAGTTTAATAGATTTATGTTACTGCTTCCCATTTTGCCTTGAGTTAGACTCTAGTTCTGGGGTTCTTTAGTGTAACTTCTCTTCAGCAGAAATGAAGACTGGTGTGTCTTTATGCACTTTTTTTTATTGATCCACATGAATCTGCCAGTTTTGAGAAAAACGATCTCTGAAATTAATGCGGAATCCTGGCTAAATACATATTTAAATTTATTTTTAGTTGCATGGGTTTGTGGCCTCATTAACACTTCGTTCAGCAGTACTGCAATATAACCAAAGCTTAGTATGTCTCTGGTATATCAGCTACCTGAAGGAACCCCTTAGGCAAAAACATATTAGATTTTTAAACCACAGGTAAACATAAAACTAAGCAATTGCAAATGTGCCAGAATAGCAAACTTGAGTACAATACTAGAAAAAATGTGTATTGGAATAGAATTAAAATGCTACCATCTTGACTTTTGCTATCAACAGTAGCATCACTGATGTTAATAGAAACAATCCAAAAATAAGCAGCTAATAGGGTCACAATGATCTGTTTATGTTATCTAGTTACACCACTGAGAATTATTGCCTATCTGTATGGCAGAGACAAGTGCTTCTCCTCATGACTGAAATGAGGGCTAATATGCTCATAAATGCTCATGCCAAGAGTCAGGTAAGTGTCTGGGGCTCACTAGGCAGGTAACTTCAGATGTGGAGTTGACAAACCTTTTGACTTCATACTTACCTCTCGCATTTTTATGGAAAAGCTATTTTCATATTTGTAGCATCTTATATTTTTCTTTTTTCTTCTTTTTGCAATCGTAGCCTTTTAAACATAGTGGGATATTTAAGTACTAGCCACACTCTTCCATATCTGAAAATATGTCAGCAGTGTTTTAAAATCTCTCTTCCCCATTTATGCATCATTATTTTCAGAACATATACTTTAATTTCACCAATAGAGGTCAGTAAACCACTGAAAGAGAACCATAAGTGTTTCACGAGAACACACCCTCGTCAATCTAACATCCTTTTGATAGTTTTGTTCAAAGGGCTCTTGTTTGGCTGCTTCAGTAAATATAAGCTTAGTTAACTACAAGGGAAAAAAGAAGAAAAGCGGCGAGTGTATGCTTATGCACGCAGGAGAATGAGTTTTATTAGGAATATGAGTTACATAAAAGACTGCATTGTTAAAGATATTTCAGCATTATAATATATTTGAAATTCCTGTTATGAAGCCAGTAGCATACATACATGCATAGGTATGGTCCCTGCTAAATCAATTTGCCAAGGTTACAACAGTAGTATGATCTAAATTCTACTTTTCAAGCTCTGTGCTGTTGAAAACCAACCTAGTGTGGAGAGGACGAAGAAGATCCCAGAGAAGTAACATTTAATGATATTAAAATACCAGATAGAAGCACAGGAGAAACCAAGAGCTGTCACCAACTTGCTCATTTTGGCAGTAACACTCAGCTAATGGAACTATATTAACACATCATTTTCCAGCTTTCAACTGTAATGAAAAGTTATTTTTACAAATCATTACTTTCGGTATATGGTGTTTCAGCCATGTGGCTTCTATTAGCGTGCAGGGGAGTTTCACAACTAAAGCTGCCTGTGCAGTACTGAAAGTGCACCTTTTATGTTGCGCTAATCCCAGAGGGGAGTCAGCACTCGTGCCCATGTCCTTTTGACCTTTATCCTTTTAATGCATTTTGCCTCAGTAGCAAAAGGTGAAAACCTAGTTTTTATGTTTCAAAACAGACCGCTTCAACAGCAATTCTCTATGAAGCTAAGGAAAGTAACATACGTTCCTGTGGAAACGTTGAAAGTCCCTAGTTCAGCAATCAACAATAGCTTTACAAATGTATTTTTAGAATCGCTTTTCTGGTAGCCCTTTGAAGCTCACCCGTACGGCCTCCCTACCACCCCTCTCAACAGCTGCTAGCATGCGAAGCCACTGGAGTGGAAGATGTTAATTATCATCAGCTACTGGAATTTCTCCAGGGACCACTTGTGGTTAGAAACGTGCTTTCCTAAAGAACTGCACTAGGCTTTAAGATCATCTCTCCTGTAGCTTATCTGAGTCTTTCCTCTTAAGCAAAAGAGAGAATCAATTAAAACCCCCAGCCTTCACTTTTAAGCATTCTTCTCTTAAGACGTGATTGTGTCATTTTCCCAAGCAATCTTAACCGCAAAATATTTTATGTCTGTGAAGAGACTTCCAACAATAGGCATTTTTATGTATATGTGACTTTCCCAGGGACTAGGCTTAGCACACATACAGATTTTGATTAAGAGAAATGAGTCTAAACCAAAAAAGGAACAAACCCAGAAAAATGTAGAAAACGGACAAATTGATAGACACAACTGTGTTTTTTTTTTTTTTCTGCCTGACAAATCATATGAACTTTCTCTTTATGGCCAAGAAAAATCTACACACCTTCCACTTGTGTCATCAGAAAACTGCACACACAAAAATGGTCTTTCCCCTTCTGCTTCATCTCCTGCTATTCAGTAGCATTTTGAGTCTCAACTGATTAGCATCAGGAGCTTGATGTGATGTCAGCAAGTGAGGTATTCCCCAAAGGGAACCAAAATAATAGTAGATGAGCTGGCAAACAGATCCCCAGAAAAGGAAATAACATAAACCCAACAGATTCTAAGCCTTGCACTCTACTGTAACTACTACAAAGCACCTTTAATGACTGAACACATCCTTAAATATGCCTCTGTGGTAGTTACAACTCAGTAATCACTACCACCCCCACAAAAAGACCACATCAGGTCAGTCAGTAGCTGCAGAGAAGCTAGGATGAACTCACTAATTGCAGGACTTGACTCCTAACATGCTGAGGACGTTTCTCTTGCCCTTTGCTGTGAATGAGGATGGCACATTTTCCCTAGTATTTTATGAAGTGACACACCAGCTGTTTTTTGATAATCTAAGGGAACTGAAGGAAAACAGTCACAGCACTCTCCAAGAATGCTGTCCTTTTCCTGTAAGGGCACAGGAAATCCCCATCCACCCCCAATAGGAAGGGGTAAGCAGGAGGAAGGAAACTGAATGTAATGGAAAGTAAACATATCAACTGTGAAAACAGTAACCACAAAAATCCTTCCTTGTTATATTAAAGGACAATGAGTACAGTGGTATTTCAGTTATTCAGTGGTATTTCAGTGTTGACATTTAAAAGCCCCACAATTACTGCCCAGTTCCCTTCTATGTAAGCCATTAGCTCTGTTGTATTGTACACCTCCAGTTCAACATCAAATACAATGATCAAGAAAGTGATACACTCAAGATGAGGGATTGCTTAATTTTTCTGAAATGGTCACTGCTTCATGGCATAGACATATTAACTCTGGGTCAGCTGCTGTAGGCCTTTACAAGCTAGAGAAGGTAACAGCATATGTGTTCCCCAACTAGCATCAAAAGTAATGAGCGAAGATGAAAGTGAACACACAAACACCAAACTGTTATATACAAAAAAAGTTTAATTGAAATACCTGTATAAAAAATATGATCTCCATACATTTCACACTGTTAAACAGAAGAAAAAAATCCAAATCCAAGCTGCATAAATGCAACCAGATCACAGAAACACAGCTATTAAAATAAATTAAGGTTTATGACTCTGCCACTCTACCTTCCAGAGCCAATGCACGGAGACTGTACAATGTCAATAATTTAAAACCCTTCCAAACAGCATTACTTTACATTTCTGGTACAATAATACCAGACAAAAGGCATACTGACTAACTTTAAAAAGTCATTCTATTTCCCTTAAATTAGACTTTGTACAACGATTTTCCATCTTCAACAAAAATTGGTAAGGTCAGAAAAATTTTTTTGTCTTTTTTTTAAACAAAAGTTGACAGGAATGCAGAAAAAAAAGTGCCATGGGCAAACCACCAGAATTCCCATGGGGAGGAGGGGAAAGCACAGTGTTGAATAACTCTAACCAAATAAATTAACAAAATAAATAGCCACAGCTGAAACCTGTGGGAGGTCTTCTAAACTTCAAACAATAAATAACTGTATAGTACATGAGAAAAACCAAGTTTACATAAACACATTATACAGGTATGGAAAAAAAAGTAAAGTCCTTGAATATTGCATTGATTGTGCATTCAACATGCCCATACATACTTTAAGACTCGCAGGGTGACAAAAGGCCGGGGGGAGTTGAGAAAGGGGCTTCTCATGCCCAATGGTAGAGATGATAAAAGGAAACACGAATAAATGTTTCTGATAAAAAAAGCCGATATACCTGTTCTTATTTCTGTGCAGGCTATAGGAAATATTTTGAGCAGCAGAGGTGGGCTGGATTTGGAAAGGGCCAGGGGGCAGGAGTGAAATGTCTGTGTTCAAGTATTCCATCACCAGTGGATGGGACTACTTCATTCAATCACCGAACATGTTCTCCAATGCATCATAGGAGCTGCTTCCTCCAGCACTGAGTCTAAAGGGAGCAAATTCCTATAATGAACTGGATCTTCTTTGGACATACACAGCTCAAAAAAGAAAGTCCCACTGAAGCAGCTTTCAAAAAGGCACTCAAAAGCAAATAAAATCTAGTCCAGGCTCTATGAGAGCAAAAAAGTTTACCATGTATTCAAGAGGTCACTGCTTTCTTAATAAGGTCAGTCTTTGACTAAGTACTGGCCTGCAACTCCCAAACATCAGCGTTTCCAAAGGAAATCTCTCATTCCAAAGCAGAAACCAGCAAAGGGGGAAAATAAAATCAAGTCCCTCAGACAAAGATTCAACTACAGAATAATGAATGCATTTTTCTAGCCCCTCCTACGTATTGGCAGCAGCACTGTGGTCTTTCTGCTTGTAGCTCCCCTCCCAGTGCGAGGTCCTTAGTAATTCACAGACTCTCATTACTTGAACTTGTGCTAGATACATCAGTATCAAGGGTCCGTAGCCTTATGTCACAGTCCTCAGACTTCACTACTTCAGATTTGTGCATCCATTGGTGGTCAAAAATTTGCTCAAGTGTTGGTCTGTCTGAAGGCCTCAGTGAAAGGCACCATTTGATCAGCTGTTGACATTCTGTAACAAACAGAAAAAAAAAAAAAAGCAATTTTAGACTAGGAAAGTAAAGTGACAATCCTGAGTGAAAAAAAAAAATCACCTGTACAAGCTGAACTGCATGGAACTATTTAAAAATAATTTAAAAAAAGCCAGAAAAAAAGCCCCCACTTGACCCCTATGCAACTCACCAGGTGAAATTCTTCTCCTGAAGTATAATCGTCCCCTCAAAATTTCTTCATCTTGCTCAAAAGGGATGTCTCCACAAACCATATCGTACAGCAGAACTCCCAAAGACCATACTGTTGCTGACCTCCCATGGTATCTGTGGTACCGGATCCACTCTGGAGGGCTGTATACTCTTGTTCCTAAAAGCAAGAAAAAAACGCCCATAAATTATTAAAGTCAAGGTTTAGAGTGTTTTCCCCCACTGTTTAGCCCCTTCTAGTAGGGCTAAATTAAATTCATAGGCTTGTCACTTCGAAGTAAAGAAAAAAAAAAAAGCTTTTAATTTCTTATGGGCCAAGGCCATTAGTGGTGTAATTTCAGGTCATCTGCGGAGTTACACCATCAACAGACTTGGCCCATCCGGTTGTGCTATTTTGTTGCAAGGAATAACACAGCCCCATCAGCTGACTGTTTACTGAGGCGAGCTCCCTTTCACTGACCACGTGGCGTCTGCAGCATCACACCAAAAATAGACACAAAAGGACAAAGGGGGCTGGCGGGGAGGAGAAGAGAGGGCGGCAAGAAGGTGAAACTCAGGTCTACCCGTATTACACGGGGCTAATCTGCTTTATCCGATTCCACCAGGCAGTAAACAAAACAGGGCCGCTTACGATTTTTACGTTTTTAAGGGGCAGTCCCCGCGGGCTTCTCTGCGGCAGCTTTTCCCAATCCACCCCCCCTACCCGGGTGCTCTCGGGCTCCTTGGATACCAAACAAAAACGGGAATTCATGATGCTGAGGGTCACGTGCGGCGGGGCTTCGGGTTTCACAACAAACAGATGTGAGTGCGGCAGCTGGGGGAGGAGGGAGGGGGGAATAAAAAAAAAATATAAATAAAAAAGGTCCCCCATTACATCAGTCACAATTAAAGGGCTGGGGAAAATACTCCCTCCTGTCACACACAGAGGCTTATTTTCAACTTTCCCATTTCCAAAGCATCGAGTCTGGCCCTGAAGCTGTATCGAGTCATTTTGAGGGAGTGTATTTATCCCCATCGCTTTAAAATCTGCAATGCGGGATTTCCAGGACATTGGCAGAAAGGGAGGGGGGGAGCTACGGCTCCAAGTTAAAAAAAGCATCGCATATAAAAACTGCATATCCACACATGGAAACATCCGACACTGGCGAAGCCTCCATGTAAACAGATCGCCCTCTAGGAAAAAAACCTCTTTTTCCAAGACAGGGAAACATAAACTGCTGCGTCACTGCCTGGAATCGCTTCTTTCCTACGCAACTGAACACCCTAAGCTGCTTCGGGTCCAAAGGTTTCCATTACTGACAGACCTGACATGAACCCCTGCGTCAGAGGCACCACTCGCTACTGCCAGGCACCAGAAACGGGGCGAGCGGCTGCTCTAGGGAGGGCATCACCCCGGGAGGGACATGGGGCTCTGGCCAAAGCCAGCACAGCCGAGCTGCCCTGGGCACAGGGAGGGCACATACCGTCGAAATCGGTATAGACCGTGTCCTTGAGGAGGGCCCCCGAGCCGAAGTCGATCAGCTTCAGCTCGCCTGTCCTGAGGTCAACCAGCAGGTTTTCGTCCTTGATGTCCCGGTGCACCACGCCGCAGCCGTAGCAGTGGCGCACCGCCTCCAGCACCTGCCGGAAGAACCCGCGGGCCGTCTCCTCGTCCAGGGCGCCCTTCTCCGTGATAAAGTCAAAGAGATCCTTCACCAGCTCGGGCCGCTCCATGATGATCAGGTAGCCGTCGGGCCGCTCGTACCAGTCCAGCAGCTTGATGACCCCTCGGAAGCCGGAGCCCACCTTCTTCAGGAGGACGATCTCCAGGGGCACCATGACGCCGCTCTGGGCAGAGAGGGGGGCGCGGGTCAGCGGCGGGGAGGGGGG